ATTTAAAATTTGGAAACTTATTTTTATCTTAAAAGCACAATTTGTCAGATCCTTCCGAACAGAGATTCATATACATTTGTCTGCCTTTCATTTTGTTGCAAAAATGATAATATAAAAAATAAAAAAAAAGTTTAAAATTTAAAAGTTTAGTTTCTTTAAACAGATGCCTGCAGTGTAAACAAAAACTTAGCATCGTGTGTTAAGCGCAGTGCTTACCTTGATGGCATTGTGAATTGACGTCACATCATAAGCGAGTGGAGGAGTCATCAGAGCCACAATCAGAGTCTCGAATTTACCTCCCAGCTCTCCCTTCAGGGTATCTACCAGATCCTGTTGAGACATATTGTTATTGAGACAGAGTCCTGATGCACTTCAAGATTGTACAGTTCATTCAAAGAGCCATCTGATTCTGCATCCGTTGGGTTGCGTGGAAAGGTTAGGAACAATAATCCAACTTAAAGACCTGAGCTACAACTTGAAGAGTTTCCCCATCAAAGATTTGATCAAAGAAATTTAAACATTTGTGTTCACTGATCCAGCGTGCATCAAGACTTCACTAAGCTGTAAACAGTAACATTTACAATGGAAAACTAAAAAAAATAATAATTTTGAAGCACAACCTTGTGGTTAGATCAGAGACATTGTTTATAATCTTTATAAAAAAAAAAAAAAAGAAAAAAAAAGGCATTTATATGCAATTAAATAATTGTGGTAAAAGTCAACATTTAGAGCTCATCTGCCATTTGGCAATATTTCTTATGGCATGTTAATGAGAAGCATCTGCAGCCAAGATAATACTAAAGACTGTCCAAAGGTCCACTGGTTGGACACATCTTGGGACAGCTGAGTCAACTGAGTTTTCTATAATTAGTTCTGGTTATATAATCCTTTTACTCTGTTTAACAAAAATAAAAATTGGCAAATTGATAGATTAGGAGCAAACCTATGCAGACATTCACAATCTGAAAAATCTCACCCAGTTGGCACCGTTTCACCACTTTCATTTTAACCACCAAATCAGTCATAAAGTTAAAGTTCATTAGAGCAACTCATCTCTAAACATCCAATCTGTAGTATTAAATGTTATTTTGGGTCACATCATACAAAATGTTGTGGATCAATTCATCTACTGGAAGATTCAAACATCTGTCCCGTTTGTCAAACACAAATCAGAAATTCTGAAATTAGATCAAATCTCGTATTCTGCCAGAACCGTTTTTGCCACAAGTCGGTAGCTGCAAACAGTTCAAGCGTAAACAACTGGTACAATGGTTGTCGACAATCTTGCAGACAAAGCACGTTTTGTCATAAATCATTCCGGATGATTAGTTATCAACTCAGAACAAGCAGTAAAATAGAGCTGAAATTTTCCACCAGGATTTTCCTCAGTCACATCTGAAAAAAAAAAACTGCTTTTAAAATCAAACTCATTCATATAAACTTAACAGCAGACATCTTTGATTTTATCCCAACAACCAACACCCACCATTATAACCCCCCCCCCCCCCCCCCCCCCCGACCCCCCCCCCCCCCCCCCCCCACTAAATATCCATCACTGCTGAACTTCATTCAACTTCGGCATCTTCCTGTAGATTTGAGCTCGACAAATACCTGTGGGCCTCAGTCCGAGAGAAGGAGGGGGTTGTTTGTTCAGCGGGGGGGGGGATGAACAGATAAGAGGATGGGGACATTTCTTCATGATACTGCGTCTAGCTTCCTCCAGCCTTGTGCAATAAAAATACCTGGAGGCCTCGCATGAACAGATCCTAGCGTGATGTCACACCCCACATAAGTAAAGGGTCCATTTCCAAAGATTGAAACATCTTTAAATAGTGAAAAAAATTAAAGTTTTACTTTAAAATTTGCCTCCATATTTTGTTGGACATCTGGGAAAAAAATAAATAAAAAATTTTGGACTTTAATGAACGTTTCCAAATATGTTCAGGTAAGAATAGGGGAAATTAAAAAAAAAAAAAAAAAAAAAAAAAAAAGTGGATAATCAGACAATATTTAGCTATATGGAATATTTGGAGCACGTTTTGAATTGTTCAAAATAAAATTCTAATTTTATACACGTCTAAAAAACTCCAGTTTCACTTTCCATGGAAAGTCTGGAAAGTTACGGCCCTTCACAACCCTAGTGTACATGATCCAAGGACTGATGCTTCACCTCGTTACTACAGTGGTCCAGATGAGCCAAAGCAAACTTAAAGCCGTCATAACCGTTTGGCATAAAATTGGTGGAAAGCATTCATTAACTTTCCAAAATCTGCATCTGCAGCAGTTCCTAATGTACAAGTGTTACAGAAGCGTGCAATCCTCCAGCTTGAATTCCAACAAAAAAAAAAAAATAATAATAAAAAACTCCACCCCACCGTTGTAGAAACGTTTTGTCTTGAGGGGAAAAAAAAAATATATATATAAAATTAGCTTTTACAGGTCCCCCCCCCCACCACATC